TGTGGAAAAAATCCGCAATACTTGGTGTGTTATAAGTATTAAAGGTGTAGTAAGACAAAACATATGCATCCTTATCTATAACAATTGGCTTCAAATCTTAACAGTTATGTATATTTAGCCCACAATATACAGACAAGTCCGAACCATGCAAATTAGTGCTCAAACATTGCAAGTGCATCTCCACCAAAAAGTTGATTGCAATCAACTCTTATTAAACATTCTGTGTCAAATAAACATAAAATAAACTTTTCTACTATAAGAACATCATTTTAAGATAAAAATAAATTTCACATTCTTTAAAGCAACTTATTGATTTATACAAACAGGACATACTCCTGATATCAAAGAATGTAAAAATAGCATCTTGGCTTTTTGGCTGAGATCAAGTCTAGAAGGAACAGCAAATATTAATTTAATAAACTTCCTTCAGTTTTTTCAATCAGTAATGGTTGTAGATTTAGCAGTTAATTAATGCTGCAAAATCTGTATCAGCTTTGAATAACTTCAAATGCAGCAATGGAATAATGGTCAAAGAACCCAAATAACAAGAGCTATAGCTGAATTAAACAGTCAATAAGTACTTTTGTGTAAACTTGGCTTAAAATTCTGCAATCTGTTTTTTAGAACTAAGTTGATCCAAAGTGATGATAATGTGAAATTGACAATGGACCTACTTAAAAAATAATGGCTATCACAACTTGGATTTTCACCTTTCATGGTACACCAAGTGAGCAGAGACAAAGGATTATTGTTATTATACTCTACAACAACATCAAAGCAGGGTGATTCTGAGATTCTTTCTCATACATTTTACTTTCCCAGAAATGAAGAGTCTCTTATTTTATCTTAACTATTGCTACATACCTTCAAGATTATCTTTGCATTCCTCTATACTGAGTTGTCCCACATGAGCTTTTTATAAAGAAAAAATCTCAAATGTATATCTGTGATACAATATCTTCCTTATCTAAAAGTTCCTATTCTACTAGATTTATCTTCCTAATATCATCTTGAATAAAATAACAAAATTCTCTTTTGGCAACATATTCCTGTTAAGTTCCTTTTCAGGAGATATCTACATCAATAGCTACTGATTATTTACTATCAAGTTGATGTCAACTCTTAGGGACACACAGATTTTCTCCATGATGATCTGTCCCTTATCTGGTCTTTCAAATCTTTTAGTGGTGCACTCAATGCCACTGTAACTTTCTTTACCCACCTTGCTGCTGGTTGTCCTCTCCCTCTCGTTCCCAACACTAGAGCTTTCTCTAGAAAACTACTGTATGTCTTCACATCATATGTCCGAAGAAAGATAATTTGAGCTAGCTCAGTTGTACCTGGAGTAAGAAGGATTGCTTTGTTTGATGATCCATTTGTTTATTTTCTTACTGTCCATTGTTTTCTCAGGAGTCTTCTCCATCACCAAAATTGAAAAGCTTAAATATTTTTATCTTGCTTCTTCAAAATCCAACTTAGCTATAATCTTTTGATAGGTAATTGTTGGCATATATAAGTGTTATCAATTTATTGACTATATTTAGTACATGCATCCAAGAAAATCTATCTACATGATGACTAAGAGCTGACACTGACTTGATAGCCCATAATCAATCAATGATTTTATGTGTATCTGGTTCTTTTTAGGAACTCAAAGCAGTATAACGGGGAGAGGTGGAGTCTCCCTTCAAAGCAATGTAATGGAAGAAGGGGGGGGGGGTCTCCTTTCATTTTATAGACATAAGCCTATGAGGTAGATTGGGGAGTCTATCATTCTCCATCTAAAGTTATTTGGTGAGTTTTAGAGCCAACGGGGTGTCTGAAACTTTGTCTAAGCTAAATATTAAATATTCTTAATATACAGTAGGATTATTTCTTCTGATTCCACAATTCTTTTTTTTATTTCATTTCATCTATTTTAAAAGATACATTCAATCTATCTATTTAAACAAATAATTTATACCAATATCTTACCAGTGTGGTAGAGTATTTAAAAAGTAGAAAAATATCAATTGGAGAATGACATGATTCTGTAGGCTGTTATTCCGTGTAACATATTGTTCCAATTAAAACTGCGTTTATAGATTTTTCATCCTTATGAATATACTGTATAAATTATTTCCCAATACTTAGCACAAAAATATTTCCTACCAACTGCAACTAGCTTTTCTAAAACCCAACTGAGTGTTTGACCCATATTTATTAAATTTATTTAAATCACAGAGATGGAAAATATTTTGAAAAAATATTCAACATATTCAAATGCCATATATTTTTTTGCATTAAAACAAGATTGAAACAACATATTTAAACTGGAATGCAATAGTTGTTGCAATGTTCCCATGTAAGAGAGTCATCAATATTCACCACCAAAGGATGATGTAATTCTTCAGAAACATTTCAGTACTTTAAGGCATTATGAATTTACTTGAATGTTATTTTACAAAACAAATTATGAAAAATGTTGTAAAACAATTTTATTTCAAACTTAGGAAACACAAACTTAGGAGTTACAACCTAATTTTATTAAAATATAGGTTGCAATTAACCAATATTTTAAAAATAAAATTTGCACAAGAAGTATTGTATGTGGCAATCCAGAAAGATTGCTATGTAGCGTTCCATGAAAACTTAACTTTCAATAGGGATTATGCTTTTCTTTCTTGTTCCCACATAATTTATTCCATTTGTCCAGGTAACACTGGATTTCAGTCACTAGTTACAACCCATTTTCCACAAGGTTTTTTTCAACATTAAACTTTCTTTCATTTGCCATTTCCCCATGTTTTATGTTTCCAGCTCATGTATATATTCTTCATTCAGAAGAAAGTCTTGATATTCATTTTAATAGATGAAGCTATGTATGTATGCATGCCTTTTCCACCAAATAAGTAAGAACATTCTTGTACAAAAGCAACTGATAATTAAGAAATCAATGAAAGAATACAAACATAAGGGTGGGGAAAAATATCAAAGTACCAAACCAAATTACCATTGTAACATCAATGTTTTGTTTCTTACAGAAGAATAATCAGTGATGTGCAGAAATGTCATAAAATAAGTTATATTGAAGCAAAAAATACTTTGGAAAGAAAAGTACTTGAATAGCAAAAGCACTTACAAAATAATGTATGCATTATTTCTACCATTTTCTCCCTCTTGCTGCAGTTCTTTACCATTTGAATGCACCAATCTACAACATCAGATTTTAGGAAAAGATAGAAGAAACTTTGATGGGAAGAGATACAGGAAAGCCCCACTGCATGCATGTCTGAAGATTCACCTTTTTTTTAAAAAAAAAAAAGTATCCTTCAGAATTCCATAAAATCCATTCAAGCCACTATCAATAAACTGAACTGCACTTAATTTTGGTTAAAAAAAACATTGTTTGGGAAAGGAGCACAAACTTCAAAATTTAAAATCCATATTCTGGCAGTTGTTTTTTAAAATCATATGCTACTTTTCTGAGCACTCTAAAACTCTGGAGTGTTAAATGGTTTGTGCAAAGCTGGCAATCAACCTCAAGTATATATGTAGTTTTCCTCATATAATCAGCATAATAAAAATAAGCCTGTTTGACAATGCTTAAACCTGATCAACATTATTGATTCTATATTAGTCTGATTGGGCACAAATTAGGAACATTTTAGACTTAGTTTTGAAATGGTAGTCAAATTTGCAATTGTATTAGACTTGAAGCAAAACTTATAAAATGTGAGGTATAATATTGGCAAAGAGTCAATTGGACTCTTTGCCAATATTATACCTCACATTTTATAAGTTTTGCTTCAAGTCTAATATAATTGGAGTAGTTTCTATTAGTAGTTTTAATGTTCACTAGTTGAATATTTTTTATTTATTCCATTCAATACTTTGATTTTTGTAGCTATCTGCATATTAACCTTTACTTTTTCAGACATGCACTCCTCTTTTTATCCATACAGATAATGAGACCTAATTCTAATTTTTGAATGGATATATTTCAATCTAAGATTGTAGGAAATAACAAAAGGGCCATGGACATGACTCACTTTATATCAAATAATTATAGGTCATGATCCACCATTTGGACAAATATTTGTAACTGTCCTGCCCATCTACCACTAGCATATATACCCATTCATTTCTGCTAAGAGAATATGGACTTAAATATTTTTTTAAAGACGGCTAACCTATACATTTATATAGTGATTATAATAGTGAGATGGAAGGATAGTTCTCTCCAAAAAGGATGAAATTTATTGCAAAGATAACTTATATGTGAAATTATAACTTTTCACTTCACAAAATATTGTGGTTCATTGGCTGGCCTGGTCAAAAGAAATGATTGTGTGACATTGATCAACTCCAAACCAGTGGATGACTTCACCTAGTGGTTCTATGTAGAGCTTGAAAAAGATGGGAATATACAGTAAATATAAGCATTAACAGTGTCATGACCAGTAACAGGCATGCCTTGGTATGCCCATGGAAAATCTCAGCTTCATGATCTGCACTGACTACTGGTTTACTTCTGGGTGCAATTCAAGGTGCTGGCTGTCATCTTTGGCTATATAAGGCATAGGGCCAGATTACTTGAGGGATCACCTATCTCTCATAACAACTGCCCAGCCAATTTGATCCTGCAGGTTGGCCTCTTTTGGGTTCGTTTAATTAAACAATGTCATTTCTCAGAATTTCTGAAGTACACTTTCTCTGTAGTCAGGTCTACCCTCAAGTCTAGAATGAAGCCCCTCCCTACCCACACACCAGACCCATATAGCTTCACTATGTTGTTGTTTAGAGCTGCGAAGGTAAGGGAGAGCTTTCAGTTCATCACGTTTGCCATCTTTTATCTTTATTTTTTACTTATTTATTGCAATTTATTTGATTGTTGTGAGCCACCCCGAGTCATTGAGAGTCAGGTGGCATACAAATTTAATCTATTATTATTACAGAACTTAAAAATATTTGTGGTGGAATAGTCACCATTATAATTATCAAAATTTGCCCATCCTGCAGCATACATTCCACTGCTGATGTTTTCAAAGACTGTTTACTGAATTATACTTGTTAAAATTAGTTTAGTATTGATTAGTGTCAAATATCATCGACTAGTGCTATAATAATGGCATTTGTTAAATTATGGAACCCATAAAAGCTAAATAAATTTCTAGTTAATTATTAGCACCAATACTAAACATTCAATGATTTTTATGACCATTTATTATTTTTAAAATGACTGATGAGACCGAAAAAATATAATTATATTACTCTTATAATACCAATTTTAGAACTTCTTCACACATTACATTATGTGGTATAATGAAATGCATAAGCATATTATACCATTTTACATAATTTGTGAATGTGCAGAAGCAAAGTACATGTAGTAAGCTTTCAAACAATTCATGAGCTTACTGCCTGCAGATTATAAACACTAAACATTCATTTTAAATACATGAGTGCTCAGAGACACATGCCTGTAACATCTGAGAAACTTACGTTCCTGAATTTTCACACAAGTGATGCAGTACTAATATGAAAACACCTCCTGCAGGACAATTCTTCTTTATTCCATGCACTTTATTTACAACAAACTCTATTCAGAATGTTTCCTGTACTGTAATATACAGTATTTTGTTTGTCCTGTGGAATTAGTTTGCTTTTCAAAAGAAAAGTTATCCAAGTTTCTGGCTCCTTATATGGCTCAGTTAAAAGTTCACTTTTAGGCAGTCACCATTAATATTATCTTTTTATCTTAATACCACTAAGATCAGTCAATCAATGACTGAATACATCATGCTCCCAGGGTAGGATGGAACTCATGAAAATAAAAAAATACTTAAAACAAATCTCAAAGTAACCCTCTCTTAATTCTGACTACAAATTTGGATAATAGTGTTATGAAGTCAAGTTTTTTTTTGATATTACACACTACATTGCTTGTGATGATCGAAGAGGTATTAAAAGAATGAAACTTTATTATGTTATTTCTTCCAATATTCTTCTGCTTTGTCGGGGAACACAGACTTCTTTGAATGGCTGCTTTTTAAAATCATGCTACTGTCAAGTATTGATGATAGAACAGCCCAAAAAGGCTTGTGGAAAAAAGACAAGCAGCAATCCACCAAGTAAGAAATGAAAGGAGTCCTCTGAATAATAGTGGAGTGAAAATGTTCTTCAGGCTAGCCAGAGCCATTGTTAGCTGTATTACGGTTACCTTCATCTTTCTATCATCAGATGACGATTCAGAGCTTACTGAACTGCTCTGTGGACTGTCCTCTGGGGGTATATCTGAGGTTAATTCTGGATAAATGCCCCACGAATAGTTACCTACAGAAAAATAATTAAGGCAAGAACAATGCTAAGTTTTTATATCATTTTAATTACATGCTTCTAGGTATAAAATTGCATACTTATTAGAAAAGATAACCAACATTTTTATAAAGACAGAGACACCATTTGAAACATGAGACACATGGTGCAAACTTTTCTCAATATTAAATCAGGCTTCATTTTTAAAAAGATGAAATATTAAATTGGAAATATTTGGAAAGAAAAAGAATTAAAGAAATTTCCAGAAAAGATAGGTATTTCTCAACAAATTAAGCTTTTACAACAATTGTCTATGTTAATAGCACAGGAAATGGAAATAAAAATGAATTCTGTAAAAAAATTGAGTTTGCAAATACTGTAAACCAGGGAAGTGGCTAGCACATAAATTACAAGAAAAAGAAATAATACTGAAATTACAAAAGAGAAATATTGTATTGATGAGCAATGTGGCATGCAAAAAGCTTCTCATCATTATTATTCCAATTTGTATAAAAAAGTGACATCTTTCTAGAAAAAAACTGGTGAATATCTAAAGAAACAAAATTTACCAAGGATTACGAAGGAACAGAGACAGATTCTGAACCTCTATAAGTATAAGGGAAGTTTCTGAAGCTATAAAAAAGATTAAAGTAGGAAAAATGCTTGTAACCAGATGAATTATTAGTTTCTTATAAATGTTGTGATAAAATATCTTTACAACTTTCACAAAATATAATGAATTCTATCCTAGAAGGAAGAAAGATTGCAGACAATTGGAAAGAGGCCAATATAGCATTAATAGCTAAAAAAAAACATTTGAATTTAACAACAAATGATAAGTCAATATCATGATAGAATCATGACTTAAGCTGTTCATGATTTAAGCTGATAAACTGAAAATAATTTTGCAAGGATTTACTGATGAGGATTAATGTGGGTTTTTTTTACATACTAAAGTTAGAAATGTGTTGGACATTTTGGAATATTTGAAAAGCAAGCCACACTTATTTTCTTGGATAAGGCCTTTGAACTAAGCTTTCTTGTTCAGGGTTTTGATTGATGTGAATTTTGGAGAGAACTTGGGTAAGAAAATGGGGAAGATCAATTTATATTCCACAGAAAGCACAAATAATTATTAATGGAGATTGAACAAAAGATAGAGAGGCCCACTGTTCATTCCTCTCTTGTTTAATTTGGTTCTTGAGATACTGATTAGAGATGAAATAAAGATTAAAAAAGAAACATAAGTTATAAGGGCTTTTGCAGATAACTTGGTGTTGGTTCTGGAAGATCCTTTAAGGTGAACTAAAATATTAATGGGCAAATTAAAAGAATTTAGTGCATTAGCTAGTTTCAAGGTTAAAAAATAGAAGATGAAAATATAAACAAAAATATGAAAACACAAGATCAAACAGAACTGATGAATATAATGGTTTTAAGATTGAGAAGAAGGTAAAATATCTGGGTATCACTGTGACAAAAATTAACTCTTTGTTATTTTAAAATAACTATGTTAAGGCATGAATGAAGTTGAAAAAGACATGATAAGATGGAAGAAACTGCAATTATCATCGCTGGAAAGAATTTGTGATAGAAAAATGAAAGTCTTGCCTAAAATGATGTTTTTGTTTCAGATAATACTTGTATTGAGAACTAATGTATCACTGAAATTGTGGCAGAAGGAAATACCTAAATTTGTGTGCCAGGGAAAAATGTGTTAAATATAAGATGTTACAAGATGCAAAGGAAAGCGAATGATTAGGTTTACCTGATTTGAATTTATATTTTGCAACTTGCTGTTTGAATAAAGAAACGGATGCTGCTGAGAAATAATAGGCTTATGGAGTTTAAGAACACAACCTGACATTTCGACGGCATGGTTATTTGTAGTATAACAAAGTTAAGGCTAATGTGTACTTTAAAAATCACTATGTTAGAATGACATATTGAGAATGCAGAATAAATAGAAACCCAGCTTGGGGCTGGAAACACCTTTGTGCTCTCAGCACAAGAAGCATTTTATAGATGAGAATACACAAACACAAATGTTTGAAACAAAATTGTGTACAAATGATGAAAATGTAATTGCTAAAATGTATAAACTTTTATTAAACTTTGAAACAGAAAAAGAACAAGTGAAAGAACATATGATGAAATAGGCTAAATATTTTGGCAACAATCTAGAGATGGAAAAATGGGGAAATATGTGGCTGAAGGGATTGAAATTTACATTGTGTTATAATCTTAAACAGAATTTTTATAAAATGATGTATTGTTGATACATGTCATCAGAAAAATTGTCTAGAATATATAAAAGCATTTCAAAGTTATGTAGGAAATGTGAAAAACTAGAAGGGACATTTTATCATTTTTACTGGATATGTAAAAAAAGCTAGAAAACTCTGGATTGAAATACACACAGTGATTCAGACCAATTTAAAGGTTTATATGCAATTGAGACAAAATGTTTTTCTTTTGGGATTGATGGACATAGTTTGAAAAAAGAAAGCAAGTTTGTTTCTGAACATGTTAACTGCATCTTTGTTCATGCATGACTACAACCAGCAGCATTTTATTTCCTGTTGCACAGTGATATTTATGACATATATTGATTTGGAAATTAAAAGATGACTGGTGGGATGGGAATAGAGAAATGAATAACCAAGAAATTAACCTTTTCAATCTACCTTTGTCTACTTTCAAAACAAACCCCCTGTAAATGATTTTTGTACCTAATATATTTTTCCAGTAACTGCCCATAAGCATTTTATTTCATTTATTGAATATTTCTTACCTAAAGTTTTTAATAGAAGAGTCATGTGCAGCAACATAACCAGAGGTGCCACATATTGAAGAGCAATTATACAAAGATAATAAAATACTCTGGCCACCTGAAGTCAACAAAAATATTGCACAATTAGGGGAATACTATCATATAAATTATCATAGCCAACAACACACACAATTAATGGTATAACCACATTAAACACTTTTACGGAATGTGTTGACAATCAACCACCCAAGAGAGAGATCCCAATACTCATCTGTTGGAAAGGGAGCAAAGCCTACATTTTTCACTCCCTGCCCTGTCAGCCCACAGAGCCATGAATAATCGTTCTCTGACAACTAAAGATCTAAAAATGTGGACTCAAACAGCAGTTAACAGAATGAATAAGCAGAAGGTAATGCCACGCTAATCCAAGTAGTCTCCCATTTTCTTTTCAATTCCCTCTCCATTAAGCATGCATTTCTAATTCTGAAAAAACTGGAAAGTTTTTTCTGATTCCTCTTTTGACTGAAGCCAATCCACATAGTTTTTTTATAACAGTGCTATTATAAAAATGATCTTGTTCTACAGTCTGAAAAGTGAGTGAGTGATTTACATTAAGAATATATTTGCTGTTCATGAACACAAATGGCTAACTCCCGGAAAGCAAACGAATAGTAAAATATTTTGAAAAGCAAACTGTTTTGACACTTTTTCCTGTTATTTAATTATTAAAGTCCAGCCCAATCTGGTCAACTCCGGGCAGTTTACAACAGTAAAAACAATACAAAACAGATCATATAATCCAAAAGAAAGTCTACCTAACAATCAATTAAATAACTGAAACTTCTCACAAAATGTCTGGGGATAAAGCTAGATTTGAAGGGTACACTTTAGATTGTTTGAAGAGGGTAGGTGCCAAGACATGCGCCCGCTTCCTGCTATCCAACAGGCAATATTATTTAATGGAACCCAAGCATGCTCTGTCTGATCATATGGGAGGAGCAGAAACTATAGGAGATAAATAATCCCTCAGATCAAAGGAAAACAATTAATAGTTAAGGAGGTACTCTCAATATTTAAAAAACCCTTTCAACTTCTCCCGAAGCATTTACTTTTATTCTAAAAGGGATAATATTTTAGAATGCTCTTGTATTTGTTGTTTCTTATTTAAAATAGAATTTCATGTGTTATTTATATCTAATCTCTTTTTCTAAATTGAAAAAGACAAAGGAATCCACACACAATTCTATTTATATAAAAATATATAAGCATACAATTTTATGAAATAGAATATATTAAAAGTATAACCATTTTCAAGAAAACAATAATAATATTACTCAAAATTAATGAAAAATGAATTATCAGTCTTACTGCCAGACAATCTTACACTTAAAAGTAACTAAAGTATATTGTGGTTGTTTCTAGAAAAACACATCAAATTCTGCCTTAGTCTAATTTTTAAAAAATGCTCATTAATTAAAACTTAAATGGCTTGTTAATTTATATATTTGATTATAGTAACCTTAGGCTTACCATTTTCTGCAATTCAACAGTACTTATTCTTCCCACTTCTTTTTTCATCTGATCCACACATTTCTGTGCTAAATTCAGATAGGCTTGGAGATGGCTACGCATCATGGCTAACCTCAAAGCACATAGGAGAATTATAATCCACAATCTTAGAGTATCAAATGTAGCTTCTGACATTCTGTAGATCAAAGAATGAACACAGTAATTTTCTAAATATCATTCCTCACACCCCTACACCCCCCACAAGCACACATGCAAACACTGGGGAGAAGATAGGAATGGCAGATGGGAATGTGTTCCTATGAGTAAGAATGAGGGGAGAGAAATGTGGATGAAAAGAAATCAAAGAAAGGAGAACTGCTTGTGCCTCCATGAGGGATTGAATGAATAGAGAGGAGGCCTTTGATTTCTCCTCAGAAAAGATGAAAATGTTTGTCCTAAACACTAAGGTTATGAATAAGAATATATCTATAAAAATATTACATTTTAAATATATACTTATTATAAGGTTTAAAAATAAAGATTTCCAAAGCAGCTTACAAAGGCACATTTTCTTTTCCTAATGGTGGGTTCATAATATAATCCTTGGTAATTGGCTTTACCCATAATAACACCATAAGTAGAGGTGCCAGGAAGTTTATATGTAGCAGAGTTCTGGAAGAAATAGAAAACAAAAATAAATACATTGTATTATTACGGAAAAAATATATTTCTAAACTATCCTATATTGAAAGCAAGAGAAATAAATATTAGTCTAACTGATTTCTGTTACATTAAATTATTTATGGTTTCTAAAGAGCTTGAAAAAACCTTGGAATTCATTGCAAGCTTATCAAGTATTCTTGTGTAAAATGAATAATAAAAATTAACTCCCCAAGCCTAATTTGTTTGCCATTACAAATATTCCCTAACACATACAACTGCAAGAAAGTTTGGAAGTTTGTCCCTTTGAACGAGGGAATACGGAGAGTGGTTACATATATAGGTTGTTCTCAATTTATGACCACAACTGAGTCCAAAATTCAAGTCAATTCAAGGTGTTGGTAATGACATTTAAAACCCTATATGGCAGATTATTTGTGGGACTAATCTAAGTTACATCTATCTGTCCTATCAGGTTTGGCAGGAATGGCATGTTAAGGGTCATATCCTTTAAGGAATATCATCTGGGTAAGGCAGAACAGCAGCTTCTGCCATGGCACTGATCCTTTGGAACATCATTCCCCCAAGATTAGATTAATCAAAGAAAACACATTAATGGATAATAGGAGACAAAAAAAATAGGACTGTATTCAGATACCTAAAATATAGAGGGGTGAACAGATGAGTATCTGGATCGAACTCATCAGTTTAGCTCTTAAATTTTAGGTGTCTGAACATAGTCCTATTTTATTCCATTCTCTTAATCTATTAGTGGGTTTCCTTTGAAAATTCTTCATGAATTTGAAATGCATTTTAATAAGATTTTAAATTTACTGAATTTTAGAAAATACATTCTGAAATTTGACAGAAAAAAGAGCCATGTTATAAGAATACTACTACTGAGAGTGGAGAATACAATTTAAGTTGAAATCTATACACTTTAGCTTACTGGGTGATTTTTTCGGTTGTTAAACTCAAAGCATCTAGATGCATCTGAGCCAGCCTCAAACCAGGGAATGTCAAGAAAGCTCCAATAAGTGAACAAAGGATAGCCAGGAAAAGTTTGAAGGTTAGCTTAGAAACAGGACCCCTAAAAGAGAAAAAGTGACAGTTAGCTTTTCTAACATTTAAAAACAGTACATATTGTATTTTTTCTACTAACAATACAGGTGATTGAAAAAGAAACAAAAAAACAAAAAAAAAACCACCCAAGGAACATTCTAACCTTTAAAAAGCCTGTTGTTATAATATAATTGAAAACTGGAAATATTACACCAACTTATGCTTAGAGATGGAAAAACGCCATATTTGCATGGAGTGTTTCAACACTGGCTCCATCTAACAAGCTGTATGCCTGTCTCCTGCCACTTAAATTTCATCTGAATCTAACAGAATTTTCTTCTTGGATACAAATTGTTCCTGTAATCATAAAGAGGCTTATACTTATATTCAAGGTGTTGGTGTTAAGCTTTAAAGCCTTTCATGGCAGGTTATGTGAAGGACTATATCTGTCTCATTTTACTTGCCCATCTCACCAGTCCAGCAAGGAGGGCTTGTTATAAGGTTCCATTGCCTACATTTAATGGCCTTAGGCAGCAGGTTTGTCTGCAGTGGCACCACTTTGTGGAATCTTCTCCCCTCTAAGGTGAAATTGGCCACATCTCTTCTGAGCCTCCAAAGGTCCCTTAAGACTTGGTTGTGGCAAAGAGGCTTGGGGACCCAGGGGACAGGTGAGGTAGTAACTTCTTTTCGTCTACTTTTTGCTTTAGCTCAGTTTTTCTATTGATTTTGATATTTTAATTGTTAATATTGTAATGATTAAGTATTTATTGTTTTAACTTGTAAGCCAGCCAGAGTTACTTATTCTGCAAGATGGATGGATATTATGATAGACAGACAGACACAAATAAAACTATTTTTAGATCTTACACTGAAGAGAGACAGGGGTAGGGGTTCCCCATCAAATTCTTCCCCATTATGTGTCTTACATATTATCTGATGAAAATTATCAAGAAGGCTTTTTTTGCCAAATTCAAATGCAAAAGTCCTTCTTATTGTGTGTTATGCCAGGATAAGTGAGCATAGATTCAAGTGTATCGAATGTTGCTATGAACTAAAAAAGTTGTGGAGTACTCGTGCTGATTTATGAGAAGATATTTATGTGCCAAAGAACAAGAACCAGAAGTCTATGTTTGGATCAGAAACTGGATCATAACTGAGCAGTCTCAGTGGACACAAAATACTAGCAGAATTTGAGAGGGAATAAAATAAAATGGGCTGTATAATAGAAATGTGTATATGAAAAAAAAGGCAGAACTGACACATATTCTACTTTAGACTATTCTAGACTATTCTGCACTGTGATACTTAGCTGAACATCCAATTAATAATAATTTTATTACTTATTTATGCTATTTCTAATTTACCCAATAATTGAAATTGTTGGTTTACATTATACAGATCATTATAAAATGCACAATTATTAATTTTTATATAAAAGATACATTTATGTCTCCATCCAAGCATACAATGACAGGATTCCTGCATTTCAGACAGAAGAACCAAGAATTATTGTCCTAAACAAAATGTAGGTTTTTGGCATACTTTCAGCTATTGCAGATGTGATTCTGAATTAAAGGATCCATAATTCTGAAAAATGTTACAAGGAGAACATTTTGATGATAATATATATTCTTCTGTAATATTGTGTTTTATACTTACTGGGATTCCAACCCTTGTTTTTCAAAAAATCGCACTGCACTTTCTGAAAAATTGGAGAAACCTGTAGATAGAATGTAGAAAGTAAACATAGAATATTAGGTTGCTAATATGGAAAGAATAGAATAGTTTTAAATAGTTAAGCCAAAATATCAATTCAGCTATGCATAATCTAGAACATCCTTTGCTATATGTAAAATCAAAATGCTATTTGAAAGTGCAATACATTATTAGAAAATAACACCATTATTATTACAAAAGAATATAGTATTACTGAATTTAATAGTTCTGAACTCTAACCTAAGAATATTTATAATTTGCAGAAAAATATTTCATGACTGTAATACTAATGGGGAAAAATTATGAAATAGAAGATTTGAAAACAAAAAATATTGGTAAATATTTTTCAAAATATTATCTATCAAATATTTATTGTTAAAATTAAGTATTTGTCCATATTAACATCAAAATATTACCTGATTCAAGTCCAAACTCCAAATAGTTTTCTGTTACAATCAGAATTACCATTGCTTTGACAAAGAAAAAGAAGCCAAAAGTTACACAGACTGATTTTTCACCTCCTTCTTCAACTTTAAAGTAGTGTGTAGTTAATGAGAACAATATTTTGCTGTATATAAGTGTCAAGGAAAAAGTCATACAGTTCTAAATAAAGATGTTTGAACCCAAGTGCTAACATTACAGAGATTACCCTATAAGGAAAATTATAGACATTGTCATAAATTAATTTTGGCCGTATTTGGGGGGGGGGGGGAGCTGGAGTAGTAGTTTTTAAGCTGTAAGGTAAATGTGTTCAGACTCATAATCTATTAATGACATCATAAAAGATTACTGCCAACCTCATATTTTTGCAAAAATGTTATACAAAATCACATTGCTAAATTTTAGCAAAACAATCTAAATATTCCTGGCTGTGCACAAATGTGTATACTAGACTTAAAAGAAAACCCCACTAAAATCAAATCCATTTTTACCCAAAGAAGACTGGAACTTGTTTTTCATTTGGCAAATTTTAAAAATTGGATCCCGTATGGAAAAAAAAGACTGCATTCTTGGGGAATACCAGTAGGGTTGGGGAGGAGGAATAATATAATGTGCAGGTTTTCAGAAACCAGCTATTATGTGGAAAATGAATACTTTTGGAAAAGAAACCTTAGCCCAATTTGCTCAAAATGTATCATAAGATGGACTTCTGTTAAAGCAATGGCAGACTGAAAGTGAGTTTGCTTTTAGCCAAGCCGACAACAAACATGGGAGAAAATAAAGCCACAGGCTCAATAAAGGAGAGGACTTAGGATCACTGAGTGTTCCTTTCAGATGCTTCCAGTGATGAAATTGTAAAATAGTGGTTTCTGGTGGGTTTTAGAGCTCTGGAAGTTGGGAGAGTCAACTCTGCCAGAGCCACAATTTGGAGCCTTCAAGAGGTGTTGGGTTTGTCCCCTTTCTTTCTTGATCATCTTTAGTAGAAATGACTTGTAAATGGCTTTTTTGATATTAACAACTTTCAGAAGTACAACTGTCATTATACTGGGTGATTTTCCTTCTACCTGTAGTGAAAAAAAACTTTCGGTAAGTGTAAAACCTAAAGAAAAACTTTTTTATTGGAAATAAGCATCAAAAAGATGATTAAAATGTTGGTTTTAGTTTTAAATGGAGTAGGGGGCCAGACTGATTGAAAATTAGATTTTGAAATATTTCCTGTAGTTTGCTAAAATCTTATTAAAATATATGCAGATTTTGAGTTTACCTGTAAAAAAAAATTCCCTTGGGAATATATGCTGGATGAGAAAAAAAACATGATAAAAGGAGACCCTTTAGGCTGGTTAACTAGAGGCAGATTCACTACTACAGAATGGGGAAAAAGTATTTTAATTCTCGGAAATGCCAAGGATATTTAGTAACAATGTACCCAGAAACTTCACTTTAGACTATCTAATACAATAAAAATGGGCTTAAAAGAAAGAGATAGAAGAGAATATAACTGAAAATCAGAATGAATGTCTATGGAGATTCTCAATCATCCAGATCATGGTTTCCCAAACTGAAGAAGCTTCTTGGATGAGAAGTAAAACATTTTCAAAGAAAAAACAAAGGAAGTCCAGTTGTCTTTTAAAAAGCACCTTTGGGACATGAGGATTAGATTGTTTTGGATATGGATTTAAAATTGATAAGATACAAGAAAGATACTGCTAGGCATTTTACAGAACTTATAGATGAAAGTGGTTGATATTTTAGTAGTTAAAAGGGACACATAAATAATAAACCAATAGTGTTACTTGGATATCTGGATTTTAACTGACAAGTGACTTGGACAATTTTATTTTGGATTTACAACAGAGATGTGTTAAGAAGGAATTCCTGTGAAAAGACAAGGAGAGAAAGAAATCAATTTTTGGAATATGACCTAAAAGGAATAAACATCAAGATCTTTNATGGTATTGTGCTGGTATGGGCTTTTATGATCGCATTTTTGAGAGTTTCCTACGCTTCTTGGGTTGTTTTCCGCTTTAGGATTTTCATCCATGGGATCTTTCCTAGGTTCTCTCTGAGTTTGTTAAAGTCAGCTCTTTCAAAGTTCAAGACACTGGTTGGATTGTTTTCTGTTGCTACTTTGTGTTATATTAAATTCCACTAGGATGTGGTCACTTTCACCCAAGGTTCCAGCAACTTCAACTCCCTCTATCACTTCGTCTCTATTTGTAAGGATTAAATCCAGTATAGCTTTATTTCTAGTTCCCTCCTCCACCTTTTGTGTAACAAAGTTGTTGGTTAGGTTGGTTAGGAATCTGTTTGATCTCCCGCTCACTGCAGAGTTTGTCTCCCAGTTCATATCTGGATAGTTGAAGTCTCTCATTACTACTGTGATATGCTTCCTAAATGCGCTTGTTAACTGGTTGGCAAAGAGTTCATCTATTTTTTCTGCTTGGTTGGGTGGTCTAATATACACCTATGGCAATGTCACTTTTTTTCCTCTTTGATATTGACCCATATACATTCTGGAGACATTTTATCTTTGATCATGTGCGTTTCTGCAGATATGTAGTGTTCTTTTACATGTAGTGCAACTCCCCCTCCTCTTTTTGTAGACTTGTTTCTTTTGAACAATTTGTATCCATCAGTCCATTCCATTCATGGGTTTCGTCCCACCAGGTTTCTGTTATGCCAACTATGTCATACCTTTCCTCGTGTACTATTGCTTCTAGTTCATCCTGTTTGTTCCTCAAGCTTTGAGCGTTGGTATATAAGCATTTAAGACTTTTATGCCTGTCCATGGGTGTGTTTCCTTTATCTCCTGATTGTTGTTCGGGTTTTTCTTTTCTTTTTTCATCACTGCTGCCTCATTGTTTGATTTGTTTTCTTGGGATTTGATTGGTTTTGGGGTCTGGAGATTCTAGAGATTGGTCACCCTCCCCCCTCAGTTTTAGTTTAAAGCCCTTCTGATGAGTTGGGCCAGTCTTTTTCCAAGTATATTTTTGCCTGTTTTCATGAGGTATAGTCCATCCCTTGCCAATAGTCCTTCGTGTAGGAAATGCAGTCAATGATCCAGGAAACCAAAGTTTTCTTGGCAACACCAACCCTTTAGCCAATGGTTTATTTCTAAAATTCTTTTTCCCCTCAATGGGTGTTGGCCTTTTGTTGGGAGTACTGATGAGAACACTGCTTATGCTCCTAGCTTAACTTTATTTATTTATTTATTTATTTATTTATATTTAAACTTCTATGCCGCCCTTCTCCCCAGAGGGACTCAGGGCGGCTCACAGCATGTTAAAAAACAACACAAAAAAACATTTCCCCTATAAAACCAATTAAAAAGCAAATATATTAATAGCTGTGTCATATTTAAAATCTTTGAAAATTTTTAAAAATTATTCCCTNTTTTTAAGCCTGGTCTCGCCCAATCTGTATTTGTACCTTTGTTTTTTCCTGCCTAAATGTAAGACTTTGCTTTTCTCCACATTGAAACTCATTTTGTTGGATAGGACCTATTGTTCAAATTTGTCAAGATCTTTTTGGATCCTGAGTTTGTCTTCTGGGGTGTTGGCTACTCCTATCAGTTTGGTGTCATCTGCAAATTTGATGAGTTCCCCTTCAATTCTCTCATCTAAATCATTTATGAAGATATTGAAGAATACTGGGCCTAAGACGGAACCTTGTGGTACCCACCGCTTACTTCTCTCCATGTGGATGTTGTGCCATTGAGGACTACTTGTTGAGTACAGTTTGTCAGCCAGCTACAGATCCATCTGGTGCTGATGTTGTCTATTCCACCTTTTCCTAGTTTATCAAGGAGTAGGATGTGGTCTACTTTGTCAAATGCCTTACTGAAATCTAAATATACTATGTCCACAGCATTTCGCTGGTCTACTAGTTTAGTCACTTTATTGAAGAATGAGATAAGATTGGTTTGGCATGATCTGTTTTTAACAAACCCGTGCTGGCTACTAGTTATGACTTTTTTTGCTTCCAGTTGTTCGCAGATCTGTTTTTTTATTATCTTTTCTAGGATCTTCCCAGGTATTGATGTTAAACTGATTGGTCTGTAGTTTCCCGAGTCTGATTTTTTTTCCTTTCTTGAAGACAGGGACCACATCAGCCCTTTTCCAATCCTCAAGTAATTCCCCTGTGCTCCAGGATTTTTGAAAGATGTGGTGCAGTGGTTCTGAGATAACATCTGCCAGCTCCTTCAGAACTCTGGGATGTAATCTGTCAGGCCCCGGTGATTTATATTTGTCAAGGTCGGATAGGTGTTCTCTTACCATTTTCTTGCTTATTTTAATTTTTGTTTCTAATTTGTCTTTTGCAGTGGTTTTTGGTATGTTGGGCTATCGTTTGTTTTTGTGTGAAGACTGATACAAAATATGAGTTAAGCAGCTCTGCTTTCTCCCTGTTGCCCGTTATTTCCTTGCCATCTTCTCTCTTTAATGGACCTACAGTTTGCTTGACATTTTTCTTGTTGTTAATATGTTGGGAGAAACTTTTTTTTTTTATCCATGATTTCTGTTGCAAGCCTTTGTTTGTTCTGAGCCTTTGCTTTCCTGACTTCATCTTTACACGTTCTGGCTGTCTCCTGATAATCGGCCTTAGTTATGTGTCCCTCTTTCTCTTTTTTGTATTTGTCCTTTTTTTCTTTCAGTTTGTTAGAGAGATCTTTGTGTAGCCATGCTGGTTTCTTCTTGAATTTCTTGTTTTTCTTTTTCAATGGTATTGTGCTGGTATGGGCTTTTATGATCGCATTTTTGAGAGTTTCCTACGCTTCTTGGGTTGTTTTCCGCTTTAGGATTTTCATCCATGGGATCTTTCCTAGGTTCTCTCTGAGTTTGTTAAAGTCAGCTCTTTCAAAGTTCAAGACACTGGTTGGATTGTTTTCTGTTGCTACTTTGTGTTATATTAAATTCCA